TGCGTGCACTGCTTTATGTGTCCGGGGACAGTGGAGAGAGGCAGGATGGCTCTTAGCCTGATGCCCATAGCAGATCTCGAATGGCTGACCTGAAAGATGTTGGAAGGTGATTCAATGACCCAGGTCTGACCAAAGGAGGAAACTACCAGGAGATCAGCTGGGCTTGCCAAGGAAACATCTGTACACCTAGAAGCCAGAACAGGTTGACTGGTAGTCCCCTACTTCTGCGTCAGGATTGCTCTGGGGCGGATCAACTAGGACAATGATAACAAGTGGTTCAGGAGCCACATGTGGCTCTTCGACATGTCACCTGTGGCTCTTCTGAGTGCTGTTCCCTGTCGTATCCAACCTGTCTTCCAGGGAAGTGGGCAGGTTCTCGAGAAATGTTCTAAAGTAGGGAAGTTCCTTCATCATTACTATGGGCCCAAGATTAAATGGATAGCTTTATTTTTAAAACCCATGTTCATAGTGATTATCAGGGGTCATTTCCTGCAGGAGCGCACAGGAGCGGAGCTCCGGCAGTAAAGAGCCCAGGGGGTGGGCACATGCAACAAACCCCACCCCCTGCTCCCAGCAGCCCTCAGTCAGAGCAAGGAGCAGCCAGGTAAGTTGCAGAGCTCCCCCCAGCCCCCCGGTCCAAAACAGTCCATGGCACCTTTAAGACCAAGTTTTATTCAGGTACACGCTCTCTCTCCTCTGCAAGGACAGATCTGTACGTTCCTCCCCCCCCTCCCCATAGCTAGCAATCCAAAACAGTCCAGTGGAGCCTGAGTGGTGGGTGTTGCCTTCTGACACACTTCCGGTGATGTCAGGGGGTGTGGCATATGCAAATAAGTTGTGCTAATGAGTTATGCTAATGAGCTCCTGCACCTCTTTTTCTACAAAATGACCCCTGGTGATTATATCAAGGTTTTAGAGATGAAGGGTTTTTGCGCATGAGTCTGCATCAATAATAAAATCCTAGCAGCTGCTTCTTATAAAGAAAAAGCAGTTTGAAGTGGTAAAGTATGGAGCAGAGAAGGGGTATGCGTTTAACTCCTTCCTCAGCTTGCCTTTCTCCCCGCTGTATTTTCTTCCCCTAAAACAATTTCTTCCTGTAGGGTTCCAAATGTATGCTTAGGAGGTAAACAAAGCAGCATAGTGAACAGAGAGCCAAAAATGATATTCAGACAATTGCTGTTGAAAATGGCAGCTGTTAGTCTACTTCCTCCCCACCACACTCAGCCCTGCAATCAGGGGTCGTTTCGTAGAAAAAGAGCTAGAGGAACTCATTAGCATAACTCATTAGCATATGCCACACCCCCTGACATCACCGGAAGTATGTCATAAGGCCACACACCCTTCCCCCAACAGTCCCGACCGCCGCCGGTCTTGCAGCTCCACTGCCGAGCCCCATGAGGGGCCCGGCGGTAGACCTGCAAGGCTGGCGGGAGTGCAAGGAAGCCCCACGAAGGCCCTCCCTGGCCCCAGGCAGGCAGGGGTGGGGAGAGGCAGGGAGGAAGCAACTTACCCTCCCTCTTCTCCTGCCTCCTCCTGGCTGAATGAGGGCCGGAAGCGGGGCGGCCGGAAGCAAGGGGCGGGGCTTCGTCATGTGCCCCGCCCCCCGTACCTCACCCGGGGGAACTGCGATCCCCCGCGACCCCCCCCCGAAATGACCTCTGCCTCCAATGCTGTAGTACAACTTAACTGTGTCCTGGCATCACCACATTCTGCATTTCCTCACCTACTGCCAGCAGCATCCAATGATATGGAGCTGGGGCAGGTAAATAAAGCAAAGGTGTTATCAGGACACAGGTAAGGTGCACCCAGAGATGGGAAAAGGGGGAAAAGGCTCACTACTGCTGTTTTCAGTGGCAGCCTTGCATTTCCCCCCTACTGTCTAGCTGGGCTGTCTGCCAGCTATACCACACCGTTGTTCCCATTGTGGCATGGAATGGGATGAGATTACTTGAAACAGGTGGGACCATCAGTCAAAGCAGAATGCTGCGCATGAAAGATTCTAGCTGTTTGCTTCATGGGACTCAGGGCATGCTGGGGTCAGATTCTGCTTCCAGAGCTCTCGACAGAAATAGCCCAGCCTCGCTTTCTTAACTGTGGTGGTGGAACAGCTGGGCGTCAGAGCTGAGATCAGGATGCGGCCTTTGGTATTTAACTTGATGATGCTTTTGGGCCATGAGCACAGAGCCCAGCACTATGAGCCGGAGGAAGTCAGGCACATGAAATGCAATTTGGCATCTGGAGACAGGACTGCTTCTGCCTCCAACCAAGCTCTCAGGCTTGGGTATTTTTAGTAGGCTTTTAGTAATGGCAAAGCAGTATATGCTTGCCCACACACATTCTTCTCTCCTTTCAGATTTCTCTCTTACTGGGCAGGCACAGGCCATCCTACTGCCAAGTAAGGGGGCACCCTTTCAGATCTCAGTAAGTCGGGGGAGTTCTCAGCACTGCAAATTCTAGGATCGATCAGTTCAGCATTCGTCGGCGTAGGGGCTAGAAACTTATCCTGAGTCTCATGTTGCTGAATTTTGCACCCACCCAACCAAATCCCACATTTGGGCAGAGTAATTAGAGAATACACACGACTCTGGGGTTGAACCCAGGAGGACTCAGTTAAAGCCTGGCCCTTGTCTATGCACAAGGAGATGAACGTTTTTTACCAGATGATGCTGAGTCAGCCAGGAGCTGGGCTGAGTGGAGAACTGAAGGCACCTGGGAGTGGAGCCGAGAGAGTAAGAGACAGGCTGGAAGCTGTGGGTTGAGGGGCTCTCTGTGTGTGTGTGTGTGCTGCACAGCTGGCAATTGCTAAGTCAGCTTTCGATTTTTTCCCCCTATCAGCTAAGGGGTTGTGTGTGTTCTATGGCAAACAGCTTTTTAAATGATGGTTGGTTTTGAAATGCACTTTCCCCCCTTCCTTCCCCCCCCCCATCTAGTTATGGAAGCCAAAGGCCTGATGGGGAAAGAATACCGGATTTGCGACTCCTTTGTCAAGGTGGGCTTGCTATTATCTAGGAGGGAGTTGGTGGGGCTGTGGTCTACTTGGCGTGCACAACCCCTTTGTGGTGAATTCTCCCACAGGGCTCCTCTTCCCTTCTCTGCTCAGGCCCTCCTCCAAACCAGGCTGCTGACTGCGTTGTCTGTGGCCATTGATTTCTTTCTTTCTTTTTTTTTAAATAAAAAGAACCTTCCCTCCATTTGCCGGCAGAGATTTGCGAGACCTGAAGGAGGAAACAGGAGGCACTGAGCATCTCTCTGAGTGGCTGTGGGATTCAAGGCGTCTCTGCAGCATCTTGGTCGATCCTTTTGGTGCATACAATGCCTGGGATAAGGGAGCATTCTTGATTCTTTCTTGGGAGGTGGGTGGGTGGGCTTGCAAAGGCTTTCTCCAGCTCTGGTGCAGCCCACGTTAACTCTGCAAAGGATGTGCTGTACCACTGCCTTTTTGCCGTAGGAAGAACATCTGCCGAGGGCCCTTGTAAGTGGTACCTTTCTCCATCTTTGGTTTCTGGACTTTTCCTAGTAAAGATGTTGCAACCACTTGTGCTGATCTTGGGTTTCATTTCTGCCCCCCTTCCAGTTTTGGGGGAACCTCGCAATATCTAGAGTGTGGAGGGGAGCTAATCTGGATATTCTTCTACCATCCTCTGCAAATTCCAATGCAGAGTTTGAATGGATTCACTTCAGTTGCAGTTCCATTTGGCTGGAAATCCAGCTCTCTCTCTCTCTCTCTCTCTCACACACTCACACACACTCACACACACTCACACACACTCACACACACTCACACACACTCACACACACTCTCTCACACACACACACACACACACACACACACACACTCACACACACACACACTCACACACACACACACACACACACACTGATTTTCTGCTAAAAGAGCTGGATTGGTAGAAAGTCTGATTGGACACCCCCACACACAGACAAAAAGGAGTTTAAGAAGATGTCTCTCTTTCTTTTCCACTGAAGATGTCTATTGTACCGGACACGGATCGAAGGTGCAGGCAAAAGACCAAGACTGTTCCAGACAATAAAAATCCGGTTTTCCATGAGCACTTTCTCTTGTGAGTATGGGGAGGGGACAGGGGGTGGGATCCACTATTGCCCACCGTCAGCTCAGTCATTCAGCCTGGGCCCAGTCTACCGAAAGAGTCAGCCAAGGATCCCAGCCAAAGAGATTTCCACATGCCTCTCTGTGCTCTCTTGTTGCTCTCTCCCGTCTTGTGTCTAAAAACATGCCTCATGCATGGTTAACGGCTGCGTCAAAATGAGGCATGACAGATACTGTTCTCCTGTTTCTCGCAGCCCAAACGCCTCAAACCTTTGCATGGAGCTGGCTGTCAGCATACACACAGCAGGAGAGGCGGGCTTCTGCCCTTCCCACCCTTGGCATTTCTTAATTTTAGTAGCTTCTGTGTGGAATGGGGTGGAGGGGAGCTTCCTTTCCAAGACTCTGAGCTGCCCTTGATGCAGGGGCGAACTAAGCTGGCTAAAAGGATTTCTGGAAGTTGTAGCATGTCCTTGGAGGAGTTGGAGGACAGATGGTTTGGGTAGCTGGCCTTTTTTTTCTTTGCTTGGAGTTGAAATCTTGGATCTGGGGCAGTGCTGGTATTGAGCTGATGTCTGTTCTCTTTCTACAGTGTAAGTTCATTGCTGTTTGAACTGTATTTCTCTATATTTGTTCCTCTGGGATCGGGATCGTCCTTCTTAGCTCAAGAGCACCTGTCCATGGGGCTGGTTTTTCAGGGGGGGGGGCTGTACTGGCCTGGGAAAAGTTCAATTGCTTGGCAATATCTGTGTAAATGAGGGACTGGTGCCCAGCTTCACATCATTGCTGGATTCTGTCAACATGAGAGGTCTTATGGGGAGAACTCTTTTACTGCATCTCTAGCTACTCTGCAAGGTTGTCTGTGTTTAGGGGCTCGGGGTTGCAGCCTGTCCACTTCATATTCTAGCCCTTTGCAAGATGAAGATGAGAGAAAGCGTCTGCTGATCACAGCTTGGAATCAACCGAGGTATTCCAGGTAAGGTCAAGACTAGAGTACGTTTGAGCTGGCACAAAGCAGATGCTCTGTGCAAGGTTGCCTGGAGCTCTTTGTCTGGTTACTGCTGACCAGGATAAGTGTAGCCTTTGGGAGGCCAGTTCCGAACATGTTGCAGGATGTAAGTCAGAGAGGCCATCTGCAGGTTCCAAGGACAACCACAAGGCCAGTGGAAGGAAGATCAGCAGTTTTTAGTAGATCCTTTTGCAGCTGTTGGGTGTTTGCATTCCACCACCACCCCTTTCTGCAAGAGGTCACCTTAATGGAACCAGAATTTCTGCCCCAGTCCTACCAGCACTAGCGAACTGTCCAGAGTGCTGGAGTGACAGCATTTCTGAGCCACACTTCCCCTGGGACCCTGGTTCACCAGCACCTCATCCCTCTGGAACGGGGCCTTGTCATTGGTGGCACCTTGACTCTGAGATTCATTCCCTGCAACAGCTTGCAGGTTTTCAGTGGATTTTATTTTCCCTCTGTCAATGCAGTGGCTGCTTGACATCTAATATTGCTTAGTCAGCTTTTTCGTCTTCTTGCTCATTCTCTGGAAGCTTTAGTGTATTTTTATTTATGCTTTAAAATGACATGTTTATGTTATGGGTTCTTGTTGCAAATCACCTCAGGAGGATTATACTGAGTGGTATTCTACCAATGTTAACTGGATAAAAACAGAACAGTATGGTTTCATGGTTTCCTCACCTCCTGAGGCAAATCTAGATAGTTCCAGTTTAAGAGGCATGATGCCCTAATCTAGATTGGTTCCCTCAATCCAGACTTGTTGTGGCACTTTCACCTGCCCTGGAACCTTGCCCAGTGAAGTTCAAACAGGTTGGTGTAACACTGTGGCCAAAAGTATAACCTTGAGCCCCCGCCACCGCTGTTCAGAAATGTCCTTGGTCATGCAGCAGTGTGGACTGTATTGGGGATTGGAGGAACAGAACCTGCAGAGGAAGAGATGCTTATCGCTATTATCAATTCCTCCCCAGGCAGAGTGAACTTATCGGCTGCATGAGCTTTGGTGTGAAGACCCTGCTGAGCCCAGACAAGGTATAGACGGCTCCTTGTGTGTGTGTGTGGGGGGGGGAGTGGGGACGCAGCTGCAGTGCTTGTCCTGGAGAGAATGAAACTCTGCATTTTAGTGGCTGCATGGCAGGGAGAAAAGATTGGGAGTGACAGCGAGACATCTTGCCCCAGAGCAAAGAACAGCAGAAGGAACGGGGGGGGGGGGGGGGCTTTTTTTGACAGGAGAAAAAACAACGAAGAGAAGGGGGGGGGGGGGGGGCGCTTGTCTCCTAAGCTGAGCATGGCTGGCTGTGTGGAGGAATGGTGTTTGAGCCCAGCTGACCAGCAGAGGCTGCTTGTGTTGAATGCACAGGTGACTGGAAACATGGATGGCGCAGAATTCAGCACCCTTGCTCTATCCATTGTTGAAAATCCCCTGCCTGTGGAAAGCTAGTAGTCAGAGAGAAGGATTTAGCCTTCTCCCTGATATATTAGTTCTCCATGTAAATGGAATAATTTCGACGGGAGAGCGTTAAAACACGCTCTCTGCTCCCCTCCATCTGCAGGTCTGAAGTGGTACACCACAAGAGCTATACTGTCAAGTTTTTACTGACTTTGTTTTCCCTCACATGGGAATGGCCTTGTGTGGTTGTATTGTTACTGATACAGGGCAGCAGCAGTAGGGCTTCCACAGGCCAGACTTTCCTGCATTTTCCTTGCCCCAGTTCTCTTAGTAGCCATTTTCCCACCTTTGCTATTGGGGGGGCATTTTGTTTTTATTCAGCAGTTGCCATATCATTATAACGTTATAGCATCTGTCAGATTTTCTGAATTCCCAGAAGTCTCTAGTCCTTTTCATTGTGGAGGTATAAGGGAAAAGGCATATCTCTGCAGTTAATGGGGATAGAGATTTACTTCTTTTAGGAACTTGCATTTGACATGAGATTCAACTAATGGAAGGGAGGAAGGTGAAGGTGGGGAGAAGGGCAGAATCTCCATTAACCCCATTTATGCATGCTTAGGCAGCTTCTGTAGGGGAGGAAGACCAAGGCATTGGACCAAAGGTTTTGTGGAACACGGTTGTTTTTGCAGAGAGAACTGAAGGAAAGGAGGGAGCAGTAATTTAAAGACGTAGTAGTACCCCCCCCCCATCTTCAAATTGAATATTCCCAAATCTTAAAATGTTAAAATAAACTGGCTTGTATTTCGATAATAATATTTTACATGTGAATGTGAATTTGGAGGGAATTCCCCACTGCCTTTTCCGCTTTCTTCTCTTTCTTAATTGTTTGCAATCTTGATTGTCAAAACTCAAGAGACACAAAGGTGTTCGCAGAATACTGCTGCCCTCTGCTGGAGACTTGTTGTCTATAGCATTTTTAAAAATAATTCCTGGCAATTAGCATATGGCTTGAAATCACTTTTGTCCCATTATAGTAAACCTGTTGTGAAGGGCACCATCATTTCCATTTTAAAGATGGAGAGCCAAGGACTGGAGTTTCCACCACAGACTAGTACAATCTGGAAACAGAATCTAGGGTGGGGGCTTTGCAGATGAAGGGGGTTTGGACCATGCACACATCAGCAGATTGGCATCTCAGTGCCTCTGTGTGTGTGTGTGTGTATCAGATGATGACTGATCACCAGGGTTACAGAGCAGGTTGAGTCCCCCACTGCTGCGGTGCCCTAAACTGTGTCATTTTCTCCCATGTAAGTTCATTATTGCTGTTCATTCCTGTGAGGGGGGGGGGGAATGCCCTGTCCCTTGGTGACAGCAGTGCAGTCCAATAAACCTTCCCACCACATCTGTCATAATGGGTGGGTTATTCCTCAGTGGAATTATAAGTAGGAACACCACGTGCATGCTGAGGCAGGAAACCCCCACCCCATCTGCTGAGATCCTTGTGATAGACAAGCCCTTTATTTTACACACACACAGATACAGGGCTGATCATAGTGACCGGCATTCTGCCTATAGACAACGGCACACGGACTAGATAGAAACCTTTGTTTGCAAATTGGAAGAGTGTTTCAAATTTCTGAAAGATTTTGGATCTCCTGCAACTCTCTCCTCTTCGCTTTTCTTTGCGGCCAGGAGATCAGCGGCTGGTACTACTTGCTGGGGGAAGACCTGGGCAGGACGAAGCACCTGAAAGTGGCTGCACGACGGCTGAAGCAGAGTGGAGGTGGGCCCCTCTGTCCAGTCACCGTGGGGAGGGTGGGGAGAGAGGATTGTGGCAGGTGGGATTCTCTCTTTCTGTCTGGTCGAGACTGTCGCAGAGCTGCCTGCACAGATTCCCTGTGCGGCAAGGAAGCCCTCGGCCAGGCCAGTTCTTGCCTGAGCTGTTCTGAGTTAACTTCCCCTCACAGGGCAGAGTCAGTGGGCCGTAAATGGTTCCCAAGGGGCTGAGAAATGCCTTTGCTAGCCTGACATGGGAGACAGGTGCCCTGGGATATTTACAGCCTCTATTCCTGGAGATCCAAGGTGTGAAGCCACTGGATTTCCCCCACTGCTCACTTCAAAGTACCCAGACTCCAACACTTCCTGGGCTACCTTTGTGCACCTTTGACAATATGAAACTGCTGGCGATGTGGCCATAACTGTGCCAAGCAGGCGAAGGGATAGTGAGAGTGGGGAATGTGTTATGGAGCCAGGGGGCACCCATTGTCTCCACTGTCATAGCATCCTCAAGTGCAGGTTTTCAACTCTTCCCCCAGTTGTGAAGGGCAGTTCTGGTTTCAGGATCTTCTGGACTGGGAAGCAGGGGAGGCTGGGCGACTTTGCCAAGGCTTGGCGACTGACACACCTCCTCTTTACTGCTTTGCAGAGCTGATGCTGGCCCAGCCAGCCCCGTTGCTGGGGAGCCAGCAGAGTGAGACTGCCGAGCAGCTCAAGGTAGGTGTGAGCACAAGACAAGAACTCGTGGGCACACAATGAAATTGCTGAGCAGTCAGGTTAGAATGAATAAAAGGAAGGACTTCTTCCCACGAAGAGTGATTAGCACATGGAATTCACTGCCACAGGAGGTGGCGGCGGCTACAGGCATGGACGGCTTCAAGAGGGAATTAGATAAACATATGGAGCAGAGGTCCATCAGTGGCTATTAGCCACAAGGTATAGATAGGGGCTCTCAGTCTGGGGCAAGCAGGGGTCATTTCCTGCGAGAGCGCACAGGAGCAGAGCTCCGGTACTAAGGAGCCCAGGGGGCATGCACATGGAGCAAGTCCCGCCCCCTGCTCCCAGCAGCCCTCAGTCGGTCCACGAGGAGCAAGAAGCAGCCAGGTAAGTTGCAGAGCCCCCCCCCCCGACCTGCCTTCAGGTACAAGCTCTCCCTCCTCTGTGAGGACAGATCTGGTTTTTTCCCCCTCCATA